TCCGCCCGACACGAAGCNTACACGACGCCTGATGAGGCGTCTGATGTCAACACGCCTCCCGACCGGCGTCGACCGACGCCTCCAACCCCTCAAAGGCGCCGATCGTAGGCCTCAGCCAGTGACGCAGGCCTGCCGGGACTAGACATGGGCGCGCCACTAATCTCGCCACTCGTGAAGAAAACCACCCCGAGTCGGACCGTCACGCGCTTACGCCGCTATGGATCCGCGCGAGCCCCTCCCGGTAGGTGGGCGCGACGAGGTCGTAGATCGCCCGGAGCTTGGCGTTGCGGCACCGCTTGGCGCCCGCGGAGCGCGCCGCGCGGAGCGGCGCTCGCGGCGGCGGCGGCGGCGCGTCGCCTGCGCCCGTGAGCTCGCGCGCGAAGGCGACGACGTCCGCGCGCGGCGCCGGGTCGTCGTCGACGACGTTGACGACGTCGCCGCGCGCGCCGGCCGCCGCGAGGGCGACGAGGGCGCCGCAGACGTCGTCGACGAGCACGCGGTTCACGGGCTTGCCCGGCGCGCCCCGCCGCGTCGGCGCCGCGCGGCTCGCGTCGAGCAGCGACCGGCCCGGCCCGTAGATGCCGCCGAGGCGCAGGACGACGCCCCCGCGGGCGACGTAGGCGGCCTCGGCGCGAACCCGCGCGGCCTCGCGCGCGCCGGCGCCGCGAAGCTCCGCGGCCTCGTCGATCCAGGCGCCGCCGTGGTCGCCGTAGACGCCCGTGGTAGACAGGTACGCGGCCCAGCACCCGTCGGGGAGCCCGTGGAGCGCGAGGAGCGGGTCCGCGTCGCCGTCGGCGATGGGCGGCATCGTCGACACCACGTGCGTCGCCGCGCCGAGCGCCGCCTCGCCGGCGCCGTCGAGGCCGCGGTAGGCGTCGTCGAGGTCGAAGACGCGCGCGTCGAGCCAGGGGTGGTCGCGCCGCAGCGCCGCGGCGCGCTCCTCGGACCGCGCGGACCCGGCGATCGCGCAGGCCGGGTAGGCCGCCCGGAAGGCCCGGGCGGCGCGCAGGCCGCAGTAGCCCAGGCCGGCGACGAAGAGCCGCTGCGGCGGCGCCGTCGGCGGCGCCGTGCGGAGCGACGCCGCGACGATCGGGAGCAGCGCGTACCGGCGCATCGCTACGGTGCGGCGTCGCACCGGAGCGCTTGTCGCAAGCAGAAGGCTCTCTTCCAGATGAGGCGCAAAGCAGTCTCTCAAAAGTCGATGATGCACAAAAGATGCACCAACATTCACCTTCTCG